CTTAGACCTTGCTACTTCTATCCCCAAGAAATATTTCAATTTACCAAGGTCCTTTGTTTGAAAATGTTCTTGTAGAAAAGTCTTCAACCTGTCAATGCCCATTTTATCATTCCCGGTAATAACAATAGCACCTAACAAACTTCTTTACCACCTCACTGACCTACCAAACCATGCTCGAGGAGACTGTTTAAGCCCATAAATAGCCTTCTTTAGTTTGCATACCTTACCATCCTCCCGCTGAGCAACAAACCCCGATGGTTGCTTCATATAGACCTCCTCGAGCAAATAACCATGCAAGAAAGCATTCTTGATATCAAGCTGATAGAGGGGACAATCATACATAGCAGCAAGAGAGATCACAACACGAACCGAACCTATCTTAGCAACTAGGGAGAAGGTCCCTGTGTAGTCAATACCATAGGTTTGGGAGTACCCTTTTGCAACTAATCTAGCTTTCAGGCGCTCTACACTACCATCAGGTAAATACTAAACAGTATAAACCCACTTACAATCGACAGCCTGCTTCCTAGGAGGAAGAGTGGTGAGGTCCCAAGTATGATTATGAGTTAGAGTTGAGAGTTCTTCCATTGCATGACACCACCCTAGAGAGGCAAGGGCTTCCTGGACATCCTTAGGGACAACAACTGAGGAAAACAAAGAGATAAACTGGCGATGGGAAGCAGAAAGATTAGTGAGAGAAACATAATTAGAAATATGATGAAGGGTACAAGTGCGTTTACCTTTCTGTAAGGCAATGGGAAGATCAAGATCAGATATTGGGTTTGGGGCTGGTGTGGAGACAACTGCTGGATCTGTCGACGCTAATGGAGCTGGAGGAGTAGCAGCCGGTACATGTGGGCGATGTGTATACACTTGACGGATAGGTGGCCGTTCAACAGGTGGTGGCACTGGAGGCGAGGACTTGGTCACAGCTAGAACAAGGGGAACAGAATATGCAACTAGAAGTGGAAGAGGAGGAGGTGATGAGGAGGAAGAAGCATCACCGGACCCCAAGAAAAACGGAGTAGAATCAAAGAATGTAACATTAGCACACACAAAGGAACGTCGAGAACTAGGATGATAACACTTATACCCTTTCTGGGTCCGGGAATAGTCAAGGAAGATGCACTTAATGGATCGTGCATCTAACTTGTCCTTCCCGGGGCCCAGATTATGGACGAAGCAGACACACCCAAAAACCCGAGGAGAAAGAGGAAACGGAGATAAGGTGGGAAACAAGGTAGTGAATGGGGAATTAACCACCAAGGATAGACGTGGGCATCTGATTAATCAAGAAGCAAGAAGTAAGCACCGCATCACTCCAAAAGGGTTTGGGAACATTCATGTGATGCATGAGAGATCGACCTGTTTCCAGAAGATGATGATTCTTTCTCTCAGCCACCCCATTTTGTTGTGGGGTGTAGGTACATGAGGTCTGATGTATAATGCCATGTTGGTCCAAGTATTCTTGAAATRATGAAGAKAAATATTCACGGCCATTATCAGAATGAAAAATTTTAATGTGAACACCAAATTGGTTGCGAATCTCAGCATAAAATTTTTGGAAGATGGTAAAAAATTCACTCCTTTCTTTCATTAAATAGAGTCATGTCATCCTTGAATAATCATCAACAAAGATGACAAAATATCTATATCCATTGTATGACATCACTTTATAAAGACCCCAAACATCTGAATGAACCAAAGATGTTTCCCCAGCTGACACGGTTATCAACCCTAGGACTAAAGGGAACGTGATGATGTTTCCCCAACTGACACGACTCACAATCTAAAACAGAAAGTTGACTCAATGAAGGAACCAAAGACTTCAAAACTTTCAGCAAAGGATGACCAAATCGATAGTGCCACTGGAGAGGAGTGAGAGATGACTGGAGAGCTGTTGATGTTCTTCCACCACCGTCAAGATAATACAACCCACCAGCTTCATGCCCTCCACCAATCTTCATCCCCGTCTTGAGATC